TCTTAAAACACCGCAACATCTAATAAAGATCTCGAGTGCCATTTGGGGGCTAATTAAAACACAAAGGGTTCTCAGTTGACAGTATAAAACGAGGCACACAACGTACACCGAACGATGCCCTAAATAGTTTAGCAACTACCCGCTTGTAATTATTGCCACGGGGAAGCCGACGGCGCGTGGCAGCGGCTACTGACATACCGCAGGGCTGTCGCTAACGCAATTCAACAGACATGTCTATAATACACGAAAACATTCAGTTCTTTACATTTTACTTTGTATCGTTACAGTCCTTCATAATATTAACAGCCTCAAGCCATGCTGAACAAAACTAAAATAGTGAGACGATGATAGAGAGAGATTGATGTTTCTTTATAAAGTCTTGAACATATTCATTTATTCCTATTGCTTGATTTACAGGTCAGCCTACACAATTTCTTTCAGAATAAGTGACTTCGAAGTGAGAATCTCCGAGAATCTGAAATTCACCAACCACAATAGATTTTCGACTCGGTTTATAAAAATCATTTTTAAATTAAAGATTTTCAAAGTTCAAAAGTAATCGTCATTTGTTATAAAACATACAATAATATAGAATGTAATGTGAGGTTTTATTTGCGGATTGTTATTTTAAAACAGCGCGGTGACATTGGAACGTGTTCTTTATCACTGAACGCTTTGTCGGAGAACTAATAAAGTTTCACCAAAACGTTGAAGACGTCACAAGAACGTCGACAGAACAGTGATTAACGAGCTGGTGACGGTTTGTTCCCTTTCTCTTCCCCTCTACTCCCCCGTAACAATATCCTCTAAGATTAGGATTATAAAATGATGACGCCGAGGAAAAAATTACATAATTCAGTTAAGTAAACGCTCTAACTATCATCAATTTATAGTACAGTTTGGCACTCTTTATTTATATAAAGAGCACAATAACACAAGTACATACGAAAAATAAATTACAACTGCTAAGTGGTTTTGTAATGAATTTAATATTTTTAACCGACTTCTAAAAGCAGGAGATATTCAATTTGGTTGCATTTTTTCCTAGTTTTAATAAATAATAATAACTTCACACATCTCACACACGGCACGCGGGTGATCAACACGTATCAGACGATCACAAATTAAGCGGAGCCTATACTATGTTAACCAGACTGCTGAAAAACATACTTATATATTTCTAAATATATAGATAAATTACACCCAGGCACAGAACTAATGATCATGCTCATAATATAATTATTTGTCCTGAGTGGGAAGCAAACCTACGACCTCTAGCTTAGCAGTCAGGGTCACTAATCACTGTACCCTAGTGATTAGTGACCTTGACTGCTAAGCTAGTTTGGACATTGGCCTGGCCTGTTGGTCAGGTCAATGTCCAAACTAGCAGCGTTTATTCGTCATCCACATAATTATTTAAATTTTGTTTGAATTTGTGCATTTGTATCAAATTTCATCCTGAGATTCAACTACAGCTGCTGACTAATTTTGAATTATAGCTCTCAATTTTAATGAGATATTACGTATCACCTTTCTGGGTTGCGCGGACGTGGGACGGACAGACAGACATGAAAGGATTTCAGAAGCGTCTATTTTCACTCGCTTTGAACCAACTCAGACAGATTTGTTTTTTGTTTTCGCAACTTTCAAGTTGAAGCGGTTTTGCTGCGACAGATTATGATATTACTTTTGAACTAATTTATCGCTCGTCGAAATGAAGTGAATTTTAGTAGAAGAAAACTTTAATTTAAGACATGCCATCGTAAAGTACAGATTTTAGAACGCACTTATGGTCTTAATCTGAAAATATCTTTAGACATTAAAATCAGAAGCTTTGGTTTCTAAGATAAGTATGAAAATGGCTTTAGACATTTAAAACGGAAGCTTTAGTTTCCGATAAATAAATATCATTGAATTGTTCGGACATCTGTCACGAAATTATTCGGGCTGCAAGACTGAATTGTGAATGTCGAGTAAACGTCACTAAAGTTGTTCCTACGTGATCGGCATCCAATAGATCCGCCGGGCTCAAGCACGCTTAACAAATTCCCGATACGACGGAAATGCGTCGTGATTGTCACGGCTGACAACCTTCATATCATTCAAGCTTGTGTTTATGACTTACAATATACAAGTGACAAATATATATTGTCTGTGAAGCGATGTTCCAAGCCTTTAACTAGAATCCCAAGAATTTGTTGAATCGGTGTTGATTCAACAATCACATGTAAAAATTGTCTCATTCAAACTCGATCGAATGTAAGTAAATGCTCAGAAAAAAAAACGACTAAAACACCCGTTTTATCACCATCACCCAAAAATTTCTGTCACTATATCTTGTATTGTGTCTCTTCTGCAAATTTTGGCAGTCACGTGAATTTAGTCAATTGTATAAACGTTAAAGTTATTTGTTGTATTTTCTAGACAAACGACATATCTAAATTGAAATAGAAACAAAGTGAAATAGTTGCGGCTGCAATAAGTAAAGACAAATCATGATGTAAATAATACAGTTAAAATTTAAGTTCCCTATTTGACTTGTCGTACCATGAATCCAAAATTACGTAATCTTGGCCCGACAAGTTGATGACAATTTAACAAATGCGATAAATATATTTTTCTGTTTGATTCTTTACTTTTTTTCGTATGTCACGAAAATATTTATGATGAACAAACAAATTTTAGAACAGCTGCGACAACCTGAGTCATTCAGTCACGAATCAAAGGAGCCGCTATCTTTGATCTAGTCGGCTGAAACCGTCGTACGCATAAACCTATTTACAGCTGCAAATATTAATAAAACGTTTTTAGGTGGTTAAACTGTGTGGAAACGGTGAGAGCCGTAAACAACATTCATTTCCATGAGTATTTAACAAGTACAAGATCGCATGTCGTGTACTTATCTAATAAATACGCTTGTTCGCTAGTTGAACAAACCATTTACTGCAGGGTTGTCAACCTCATTGTACTGTTGTAAATTTTAATTGATCACCTCAACAACATAAGTCTGGTTTACTTTATGCTCAGTTCTGTTCAATATGCACTGAACTAAAATACGTTTTGTTTATTTATGTACTTTTGTATTACCAGGATGTCTATAAACGAATATAGTATGTAAATAAGGCTTGTTCCTTTGAATGTGCCTGTTTGTACAATAAGGTACCTTAAAGAAATAGTTAACACGATTTTAGTATGGAGTGCTTCTATAAATTTCGTTAAGCTCTTTCTAGCTAATAAAATACGTTTCACTGTCACCAGATAGCAACGCTATTTACATAAAAGTTTATAGGTTCATAACGTCAGTGTACTCACTGTAACAGGAAACCCCCCTCGAAGTCCACTATTTAGCTTTTATTCCAACTATTTTCTGATGTCATTACCTGCTGTCCACCTGTCCACCCCGCTGCAAAATGGCTGACATCGCTATTAAGCTATTACACTGAATACTACTGCCCTGTCATCTAGTATCAATTATAGTTTTATACGAACATATGCGTTTGTCTAAATTACAGGCGACTATTTGTCTTTTAATCATTTTTCTATTCATAGGAAAGCACGCCATCGTATATAAGTTTTATTAATTCTCAAAGGGTTTTCACAAAGGGTTAAGTACATTTAATAGACGGTTTAACGAGGAGCCACTTTATTTAGCTTGTCACCGTCTCGGTCTCACTGAGTCGTGTCGTAAGGTTCAATATCACTGAATGAAATAGGGATGTTGCATTATCAACACATCACACTCAATAGAAGTAAGAAAAGACGAATCAAAATAGTCAGAAAACTTTAACGCTAATAAATATTTAGTAATTATCTTTCTTTTATTTTTATCATCAAATATCACTAACGATAAAATACCACCACCACATTATACTAGAATCGCGTAAAGTCATAACTTAGAAACGTTATACTGTAACTATAAAAATAGGTAAGGTTACAAAATATGTAAATAGCAGGTAATGGGACTATTTGTTACACTATCGTCTGGAGTATCTTAAGATAATGATTCATAAAAATGTTTATTGACTACGCCTACTATGAATGTAATAAAGTATCGATGGTAGTGCGTAACGTATTCAAACAGTGTCGCGGGGGAGGAAGCGGCCGTCACGCGGTGTTCCTTAACAAGACGGAATTAAATACGAATGTATTAGTCTACAGCATTCGTCTCTTCTTACGCGTTAATAATATTTAACTTTTATTCAGTTGACGCGCTTTCTTGGAACAGACCGTGTTGTGACACTTGTGACGCGATTTTTGATTAGGATGTACGCGCGACACTAGTTTCGAATGATTTCTTGTAGCATAATATTTCAATAACCACAGGAAGACTCACACGGCAAGAAAATCATAGATGATTTCGTTCGTGTCAACGTTTTATTTATTTGTTTTATAGATGAAACGTTACATCAAAGAATAGTAGGGATTCTATAAAAGGAATTCAAAGACCGGCGCTGCTTTTGTGGTTTTAGTACAGCACCATTATGTTGAACAAAATATTGAATGACCTCGGCGAACGGGGATAAAAATATCGACGGCCGCAAAGTTTTAGGGAAGCAATAAATCTACTTAATTAGTCAATCCAGCTTTCCACTAAAAACTTTCCATTGAAATTTTTTAGGGATATGATTAAAATATAATGTGGGTGGCCGTATTCAGTAGAGTTCTATTAAAACTTTATCACATTTTCGAATATTATTCCTTATTAATAATTCATTCCGAAGTAACACAAATGGACAAATATTAAGATGCATAGTTGCATATTTCCATAGTGAGTAACATCTACAACTACGGATCCGATGTCAAAAAATGTTGAGAGTCAGATGATACCACTTCATCCAGACTATTCTAGGTCCCTCATGTCTATCTACTTTTTATTATTTACTGTTTTATTTTTATTTTGAGGTTAGTTTTTATAGTTTGTTTTCTTTAAACATTATTATTATTATTTCTTTAAGTATATTACACTAATAACATAGAGACTCAACGATGGGCAAACTTACCTTGTCACAAACACTGCGACAAGTTCCCTCAGCTTTGTCACAACAAGCTGTAATGTCTGAAACAAAATTAGAATCATTAATACAACGGAATGTTTTATAGTAACGTACGCGAGGGATCAGTCGGCTGGAGCACAGCAGCTGGTGCCAGACCACAATAAAGTAGCTGTGACAGTAACAGACGACGGCATAAAGCTTTTGGTCTATTCCCTCTAACGACCCCTTTTATTCATATTTCTATTATTGCAACCATTTTTTATACTGAGATGAATACTGACTACAAACTAATGTACCTCCTTGACCTGAAAATACTAATTAGACATAATTATTCATCATACCGCTCGCGCTATTACGCTATCAATCATAATATCAAAGTCCACATTCATTTTTGTAGTTTCACGATTATAAAGATCAAACATTCAGCTTGCTTTTGATCTGACATATAATCACAGAACCTCTGTCCAATTGAAATAAAATTAATAATACTAAATAAAAACATACAAAAACTCTACAATTTAAACTCCACGTATTTTCATCAAAAGGAACCTTAGTTTATATAACTTTTATGATATAGTACATTGTAACTAGTATTTTGCATAATAGGAGAAAAACCTACTTTCATTAAAACCGGAGAAAGCAGGAGTGTGTTTATAAAGTTGTCTGCGGACCTGTTTAATAAGCCGATCCCCTAGAGTACGATTAAGTTAGCACCACTGTGTCGTGTCTTATTATTACGATTTCTGTGGTTAGCACAAAATTCTAGGAAATTTATAAGCTTTCAAGTAAAATATTCTCGTTCTGATCTAAACTGATCTACGTACCCGGACGGTCGGACGAACCTCTCTCGAATCTCAATGTTCTCTTTGGTAACACAAATGTTTGAACAGTAAGTAATAAGATTAAATCCTTTGTATCATTCTCTGTAACGTCTACTTATTTGAGTTCTCTAGTACTTATATGTTTCTTCATTAGCCCATCTATGCAAATAATTCAATTTTATTTTATTTCTTTATTCTTAACTATGTGACTTGGTAAATTACTAATTTCAAAATATGAATTCTTTCAAAACCCGACTACCGTTAAATTACATCACATGCTTAAAATTAAATTATGGTATATTCGTTTAATTTACCATTTATATCATTATTATATTAAATATAATAATTTTATAGGTACATGTCAGCCGTCTGATCCCAAAACTAGGCAGAACCTAGACTATGATAACCAGACTGCTGATAAACATACTTATAGCTTTCAAAAAACATACATATCATAGATAAATTACACCCAGGCACAAAACAATTATCATATTCAAGATAAAAACACCAAACGCATTGCAACACAGGTAAGAGTATACGATCAAAATACTAGTAAAGTTTTAAGTGCTATGTACACGGGCTAGAAAAAAAAATAACTGTGCATGATTATATTTATGCCCAACCGGATAATCACGACAAATTATTCTATAGAGAATTTACTATCAAAATCTATATTGCTCTCACCCCGCATAAATGTATGAGCTCTATTAGCACCACTCTAAGCAAAATATATAGTTGTGAAGAGCTATTAATATTTCCTCTTTATGCCAGAAGTGAGATTAGGATATTTACCAATCAAATTCCAAATGAAATATTTCAATATGAGAAATGTTGAATCATCCACTCACAGTTGAAGCTGTTAATTTTGCTTGGCGCCATTTATCTCGAGTACAGCTTTCTCTATAATTTTATTGTGTTGCCATTTAGTCTTATTAACTTAGAACAATTTAATACATATTTTTGTTTCATTAGCGTGACAATAATAAACTAAATTAGTTGTGATATAGTAATGTGCAATATTTATTACGACTAGAGCCATGTATTCCATAAGTGAACAAACTAACTAGAAAAGGAATTTTCCATTCTTTGGTACACAAAGGCTTAGAGCTTCATGACTGTTGGTGAATTGCACTTGTCGACAGTTTTTTAGACTCTTTTATCAAGAGACTCTTGCATGTATCCAAGCGCTCTTACATCTGCAATATTCGCATGGGAGACCAAACCAGTGCCTTATATAGAAATATTACTTCCTTCGCAAGAAGTCGAACCAATTTCTTAAGGATGAGTAGTTTGCTTTCTTCCAACCACTACTGTAATGTACGTTACTTGAGATCTCAATACGGGTAATACTATTAAGATTGATGATTGCAAGAGTGTTGTTTAGTTTTAATTATGAAGCTACAATAAAAGGTCTTCAAACAGAATTTTCTCAAATAGTCAAATATAAGCTACTTTGACCGAACACACGTTCCGTGAAAATATTTCTACCGTTTTACTATATATAGGTAAAGCAGTTTCTAGTATTACATCACGCACAAATATATTATATTCCTTACCTTGCGAATTCACACAAGCTAGAGTAACTGCAGCAAACATGAGACTGAATTTCCACACATTTTCGTTTCGCTGAAATCTCCTACAACTTTTAATGGCCTCCATATTTTTTGAAATATAACAATTTTCTCATACATCTGTGGATAGAAAATACACAATAAATTGAGACATATAATTTTAAAAAGAATATACGTTTTACAGCTTTTATTCACGCTGTTATCATGCTTTAACCCTTAGACTGTAGGCCAGGGATAAAACGCGATGTTCCGTCATGACTTATGGCAATTATTATCTTATTTAATATAAAAATAATTCTTGATTTCTGACTGATAGCTGTAATGGTTGCCTTGTTTAAACAATAAAATAAAAGTCTTCATCGTAACGTATTAAAGTTTACAATAACTGGAGAACACAAAAGTAAAATTCATCAAAACATAAAGGCTCTTATTGTTGAGGCGTTCTATAACTTTTAGTTACAAAAAAAGAAAATTTAAGCAGAGTACGTAAGTATGCAAAAGATTGTAATTGTAAGGGTAAGTATATACTGACATTATCATTTGAAATCGATACAATTTTCGTAGATTAAAGAATTGTAGACGAGTAAATGCGCTTCAGCGTAGTGTTATTTGTGACTATTTTTGTGTCATACAATGTATATTTACATACACACTGAATAAACATTTTTTAGTTGGCTTGTCTAAGTCTAATATCAGGATTTCGCTTAGCTTAACCTTGATGCGTTTTTAGAGGAACGGCGTTACCTGAATAAATAAAATAAAAATAATAGAATAAAAAAGTACACAAAGCAATTTTTTCAACTCAAATCTATCAATGTTTGTTTCTTCTTTCTGTTTGTCTTTTTATTTTCCCATTCCAATTCAACAAAAATATTGACACAAGGATACTGTATTTCTAAGAGCATTGAATCGGTATCAGATTGACTCATAGCTTGTCAGTAAAGCCAATTGGATCAATAACTCAAGTAATCCCTACAAAATTACTTATTAAACTTATTTAATGTACCTTACTTTTATTACAAAAGAGGCGAGGACTAAGAAACTTGTTATTCTACTGCTAAAAACACTATGGAATAATCCACTTTAACTACAAGACAGTATAAAGTTACCTTCAACCCAAACTGACAGACTTAGCTCCGCTAGAACGACTAATATACGAAGTTCGATTCTTATTAGGTAAGAATAGTTAGGAAAATAAAACATTTGTGGTACGTGGGGATAACAATACATTTTATGCCAGGTTTGGCTACTTTACTAGTATTCACAAGCATAGTCATGTCAGTCACTTTTGAATATTACAATAGCTAAACATGCAGAAGCATATTAGAGGACTGAAAATTACTAAGTTAATGTAGTCTGAGCAATTTAGTATATTCAAGAGCTCAGCTCTAAAGTGTACTCAGTATCAAACTAAATATCCATTAATTTATATCGCTATGGGATACACAGTGCTGAAGCACACATAAATTGTATTTATTAAAGCGACTTATACTTGAAATATATTTAGACGAATAAAATGAAAATGATGACATTCTATAGCAAGAAAAACTGTACATCTATTGGATTAAAGCCTCTTTGAGATTATTCATTAATACAATAAACTATAATGTAGTCCTAATAAGGTTTCTAATGACTAGAAAAATGGGAAATTGCTTTTTTTTGTGTTTTAGATATTTATCTATGTGGAACTGAAGAAGGTTGTTGTCGAGTTTGCTGCATTTCTGGGTTCTTATTGGGATCGGTATAATAAACAGCAATAAAGGATTTAGAATATCACCAGGAAGTGCACGCATATTCCTCGAATTGTCATTGTCATTTATAAATCAAAGGACAGTTTAGGGTGCTGATTCTGTTTATTCTCTTATCTTATCACATACGAGACACACACGGCTATCCTGATTGTAAGTTATTTACTAGTACTAGTAGAAACACTGCTAGCCCCTATTACTTGGGAGAAACCTTTGAGAAATTTAAAGTGCTAAAAGACACACACTTTAGCTGAGTGTTTCACATAGCACACATAGTTTGCGTACAAAGTTAGGTGCTTGTTTAGAATATATTTAAACCTAGCGAAGCGTAACGCAAGTTTTTGATATGAAAGCCGGCCTATGAGGAAGAGCTGTTAATTTATCACATTACCCTCTTTATCGCCGTGCTGGGACTAATTGGAGCGTATTCTCGTTTACTGCCACGACACGAACGACAAGTTTATTTAACACACTTAATTACGTTTATACCTTTAAGAGCTGGAATATTTGTAAATAAGTCGATATAAATTCAAATCAAACAAAGTTATTCAGCAAATCAAATAAAAGCAAATCAACAGTTATTTATTACCAAGGATATTTTCGGTACTATGTGTTTTTTTTTAGAATACATCGTCCACATGAACGTCTTCATTTTTTTAAACATGCCGATCCGTTAAAATGATTGTTTGTCATCCAACCCCCTCAGAATGTAACAGCAAAAAAAAAAGGAGTTTGTCAAGTATCACATGCATTTCTAATTCCTAACACTTGCAGACAGGAGTCTACGCAAATATCTTTACGCCAACCATAATTTAAACATTTATTTACTTCGTTTACAACATAACAAGTTATACCTACAATTCTTATTGACGCACACCGTAACTTTTACTCCGTGTTGCCCATCGCTTAGTTTAGTTGTTCCCGATAGATTTATACACCTTTTTATCTTTAGTTATTATCAACACAGTAAACAAAAACAGAAGGTTATCTTCAGACAACGGGAACGGTTGCAGGTTGCCTTTATAGTATATGTACGTCTATGTATAACGACAATATGTCAGTCGAGCAGGTTGAGCCCTCTTGGGCCAAGTAGACATCATTATGTTTCCACTGGGCGTAGGCGGCGCGAACGTATAGATGCTGAATTTGCTGCCGTTTTATGAAAATGAGTTACTGCTTTCTGTGTACCATAACGGTATTGCCAGAGATCAATTATAATCAATATTGGATAAAAAATACTTAACTGGTTTTACAATGAAAGATTAACAATTGATTTAATTTTAATCGTGGCTACCTTTCAACCACACATAATCTGTGCTTTTAACAAATCCATGATTGTAACAACTATGATTAACAGTCAACTAATTGTTTCTCTCATTTAATCATTTATTTGCAATAAGAAAATATTTTTATTTCTATAAACATGTGTATGCATCTATATGTAAGAACTGTATTAGTAATGACCATATTTTCAAGACAATAATGCGTGATATTTCTCTTGTGAATTAGTTCATTTATTCGAATATGACCTAAATAACTGGCTGTTAATTAAGTTGTCGGCAAAATCAAAGAATCATATGACTGTGTAACAAATGTAGTAATCATTAGAGCAGATGTAGATTCACAATAACATGTGCTCAGTTTATCTTAGAGACTATCGACCACGCTATCAACCTTATGATATTGTTTATGAGGTTTGGACCCCCCATTTCTCTATTGGTTTTATTTAAATTGTCCACTTCATGTTTCAGACATTTTAAAAACAATATTTAAAATATAAGTTCTTAATTATTATGTTTAGTACCTAAGTTTTAAAACTTTTTTTGTTAACGTACCTATTGGTATAAAAATATTTTTATACCAATAGTAGTAGTAGTAGTAGTATAGTATTTTATATCATAATACCACATACATTTGCACGTAAAGTAGCCCGATAAATGATTTTAGGCGAAATTTACTACCACGATATCATACGCAAAAAAATGTTTAACATTTTTTTTCTGCGTATTATTTACCACGAACTAGCATACATTTTTACCACCCCTCGAATCTTAATTTACTTTATCAAATGGCAAGTTCGTTAATTTTACATATATATATGTAAAATGCATTATTTTCGTATTGCAATAATGATAAAGGTATAAAAATATATAGTAACTTTTCCAACTGCGCTATAGGCTATAGATGAAATACGTGATACGACGTTTATGCCCTTGTTTATAGGCATTTCCTATCCTACTGGTTATATGCTTGTCTGCCAACTTATAACGTCAATATAAATTGACAGACAGGCATATAATTTACGTCAAGAGATATCGACTGGTAGTTATAGGACCACTGATTTAGTGTCTGCTACGTGCAACATTTGCGGGTACATTTATTGTCGAGAAATTTTTTCGCACAAATAAAACGTGCTGGGCGGGCTGTGAGAAGCTATCGTAACTAAATAAAAATGTTTTATAGTCCACATGTTTCTATACATACCGAACTTCGAGCGAACTTAGCCCCTTACTTTCTAAAGCGTTGTCTACAAGTTCGCCTTTTAAAATGATATAGTGGCAATAAATAATTTAGAAAGAATAGCTTCTATATAAATGTCACTATCAGAACCGACATTCTTAAAAAGAAATACTAAAGCGGTAAGTGTATTGCGTAAATCAAATTCACGTACCCATTATTTACCGGTATTTATAGGTAGGTTTAACCTAACAGTTGAAGCCAATCTAAATCAATCATTAGGTATACAGACCCTATTCTTATCTTAGTTAACTAAGTGAAGAGTTTATATTCAATAAAACAAAGAGCATAAACTTTACAAAAATTAAACATTACGACTGAAGCACAGTCATTAAGCAAAGTTACAGAGTGAAGTATTATGAAAACGTAATTATGATACCGAGTTATGATTAATTTTTGGCCAGTAGGTGGCAAACTTGTAATTAAAATGTCAACTTTATATTTTGTTTTATTTACTATGAACCATTTCAGCGTGCAATGTGGCGTCTCTGGTTTTAGTTGCAAGGTTAAAATGAATAATTTTATCATTTTATAGTATTATTGATTTATTTGCTTTTTAGTCATCAATAATTATTATTTTCTCACATGAACAGCCTTTAATAGTCCAATGCTGGACATAAGCCTCTCCTTAGAAAGGAGGTTTTGGCCTACTATACCACCTGGCCAAACGGCTTGATATAGGGTTTGTGCCAAGTTTTCCTTCTCTCTGCAGTGCTGTTATTCTGCGTAGTTTTCTCCCTTAGTCGGCTCTTACGACACCCAAGGGATGAATAGGGGTGGTGACACTCTGTATTCTGAATCCGTCACCACACGGACTAAAGAC